ACTATCTAAAAGCTAAATAAATAGCAAAAAGCTATTTAAAAGTAACAAAAGGTTAGCTAAAAGCTAATATTGTCATAAAAAGACAAATAGAAGACGGGTTCAAAAAGAATATTTATTTGTAAGTAGAGATGTTAAAATGGGAGAAATTCTTTTTAAATAAAGTTTAATATTTTTGAAAAAGTTCAAAGTTACAGAAGCTAAAAGTCACAGCTGCATCTCCAGCTGAACGTTTTAATTTGAACAGCTAAAACGGTACAAAGCTGATTTACATTTAAAAAAACATGTAGAAAAATAAAAACAAGGAAACAGCAGAGTGATGCTCTTTGTTCACAGTAAATATCTTACCTGTTTTAGATAACTCTTTGAACTATCCTAAAGTTTCTTTCTGACTGGACTGATGAGCTAACAGCTATTATAAACAAAGCCGGGACCAAAATTGATTCCTGACCTCCTAAAACAGCTAAAATCTCTATTTTTCTCATCAGCTCACTGGCTAGCACTTCCTGTGCAGCACGGCCCACTTCCTGTAGGAAAATTCAACACATTTTGGATGTGTAACCTGTGTAACGTGAAATTTACTTGTGAATCCCTGAGATTTTGAAAATGAGATTCATTTTAAATATGGCTGCCAAAGCTAATCAACTTTAGTAAACACATAAAAAAATAGCTAAAACTCAGGAGACATTGAGCTAAAGTTCGGTGTGGTCGTAGCTGAGAGTCATCCCTAACAGAGACTATGAGCACTAACGGGTCACCAGTGACCCACAGACGGCAGTGACACACTTTAACTGTGAGTCGTTCACATTTATACCCAAGCTGAGTGTATCTGCAGCAGGTTAGATACTGATTACTACTTTTACACATGTGCTTTAAAACGTCCGAACAGCCAGGTGTTTTCAGGTGTGAGCACTCACCTGCTGCAGGCTCCTGTGCTCCAGCAGGTGTCGCTGCGGATCTCCGGACCTCCTGCTGCAGCTGGACCAGAACATCTTCACCCAGACGGGCCCGACCCGGGACCGCAGAGAGGTCGAAGGCCAGCAGGTGACCTTCAGCTTTGACCCCAGACAGAGGGTTTCCGGGAGGAACCGGGACGTGACGGTGAGCTTCAGGACTCCAGGCGGGACCAGACCCACGGTGACAGAGGAGGAGGGGGTCAGAACCCGCAGCAGCGGTCCGGTCCGGACGGGAGGAGCAGCAGGAACCCAAAGTTTCACAGCAGAAAGTTCCGCTTGTTTCCTGAAGACCTCCCACCGACACGCCACGGAGGGTCCTCCCCGGGTCGGAACCTTCCGCTCGGAGCTTCGGTTCTGTCCGCCACGCTCAGCCGAGTCTCCGCGCCGCTTGGCCGGACCAGGCCGCTTGGCCGGCGGGTTCCTGCTCCAGATCCTCCCCCGGCAGCGGACCACCGCGGACAGGGCCGAGGCGGAGGGAGCGGAGGCCATGGGGGTCCAACGAGTTCCAGCCGACCAGAACCGGTCCGCGAAGTCACATTCTGAGGCCTGGAAGGATTTGGGTCAGAGAGAAGACCGAGAGCAGGACTGAGGAGGGGGTTCAGGCTGGGCCCCTGTGGGGGGCTCAGGTGGGAGGGTCTTTAAGGAGGAACAGGAGGGTCATCAGGCTGAAACTAAACCCGAGTTAAATTCAACTAAACCCGAGTTAAAGTCAATAAACCCGAGTTAAACTCAACTAACCTGAGTTAAAGTCTAAATAAAGCAGAGTTAAACTCAACTAAACCCAAGTTAGTCTAANAACTCAACTAACCTGAGTTAAAGTCTAAATAAAGCAGAGTTAAACTCAACTAAACCCAAGTTAGTCTAAATAAACTCGAGTTAAACTCAACTAAACCCGAGTTCAAGTCTAAATAAACTCAAGTTATACCCAACAACTAATAAACTTGAGTTAAAATCAACTAAACCTGAGTTAAATTCAACTAAACTCGAGTTAGTCTCAATAAACTCAAGTTAAACTCAACTAAACCCAAGTTAAAGTCTGAATAAACTCGAGTTAAACTGAACTAGACCCGAGTTAAAGTCTAAATAAACTCAAGTTATACCCAACAAATAATAAACTTGAGTTCAACTCAACTAAACCTGAGTTAAATTCAGCTAAACCTGAGTTAAAATCTAAATAAACCAGAGTTAAACTCAACTAAACCCGAGTTAGTCAATAAACCTGAGTTAAACTCAACTAAACCCGAGTTAAATTTAAAATAAACTCGAGTTAAACTCAACTAAACCTTAGTTAAAGTCAAAATAAACTAGTCAAACTCAACCAAACTCGAGTTAAAGTCTGAATAAACTCGANCAACTAAACCTTAGTTAAAGTCAAAATAAACTAGTCAAACTCAACCAAACTCGAGTTAAAGTCTGAATAAACTCGAGTTAAACTCAACTAAACCTGAGTTAGTCTAAACAAGTTATACCCAACAAATAATAAACTTGAGTTCAACTCAACTAAACCTGAGTTAAATTCAACTAAACCTGAGTTAAAGTCTAAAACTCGAGTTGAACTCAACTAACCTGAGTTAAAGTCTAAATAAACCAGAGTTAAACTCAACTAAACCCAAGTTAGTCAATAAACCAGAGTTATACTCAACTAAACCTGAGTTAGTCAATAAACCTGAGTTAAACTCAACTAAACCTGAGATAAATTCTAAATAAACTTGAGTTAAACTCAACTAAACCTGAGTTAAAGTCTACATAAACTCCAGTTAAACTCAACTAAACCTGGGTTAAATTCTAAATAAACTCGAGTTAAACTCAACTAAACCTAAGTTAAATTCTACATAAATTCCAGTTAAACTCAACTAAACCCGAGTTAAAGTAAATAAACTCGAGTTAAATGCAACTAAACCTGAGTTAAAGTCTAAATAAACTCGAGTTAAACTCAACTAAGCCTGAGTTAAAGTCTTAATAAACTCAAGTTATACCCAACAAATAAACTTGAGTTCAACTCAACTAAACCCGAGTTAAATTCAACTAAACTCGAGTTAGTCTTAATAAACTCAAGTTAAACTCAACTAAACCTGAGTTAAATTCAACTAAACTCAAGTTAGTCTTAATAAACTCAAGTTAAACTCAACTAAACCTGAGTTAAATTCAACTAAACTCGAGTTAGTCTTAATAAACTCAAGTTAAACTCAACTAAACCTGAGTTAAAGTCTAAATAAACTCAAGTTATAACCAAAAAATAAACCAGAGAATGCACCTGGTATGAACCTGAATAGACACCTGGAGGGTGGAGCTCTGTGTGAATTCTGTCGTCTGATTGGTCGACGCTCGCCCCCACAGAGACCCCTCCAGAGCGATGAGCTCATAGAAATACGTTTACCCAGAATGCACTGCAGCCAGCTGTCAGCACAGAGGTAGAGGGCTGATGGTTTGGACCCAGAACATGTGAGGCCCTCTGACAGCTGGAGTCTGGACCAGACTGGGTCCAGTGGAACCACAGCAACTGATCTGCAACAGAACGGGTCACAAAGAACCGGAGCAGGTTCTGTTTGTTCTTGACGTTCCCTCTGATGACCCGGGTCACATGACGGTCTTTGTGTGGAAACATAATCAAAACAAACAGGAACCATGAAATGTTCTGACGTTCAGGTAAACAGGTGAAGTCCTCAGGCTGCGTACACAAACTGGACCGGTCCGGTCTGGTCTGGTCTGGGCCAGGCTTCCAGAGTCATGAGGGACCCGCAGGCCTTTGTTGACACTGATCCTCCGAGCAGGATCCTGTCAGACCTGAACCGACAGGTGTATTTACACCTGAAGGACCAGAACCTGCAGATCTGTTCTGATCCAGAACAGCAAACAGGAAGTCCAAACCATGTTACAAAATAAAAGCCTTTGAATTTTAAAGCTGTTTATTTAAAAATAAAACTCATTTAATGTGCTTTTAATTAAATTTACATATATTTACATCATTTCTGTACAAGAAGCTTTGAGTATAAATATAAAAAACATGAGTCCAAGCTGATCCAGACCCGGTTCAGATCTTCAGGTTCAGAGCTTTTTAACAGCCGGAGCTTTGGGTTTTTCCACTTGTGTCGGATCAAAACAAGCTGCGGTCTGTTATCTGCCTTCACGCTCAGCAGGGCTTCGTTTTTAAAGATTAAAACTCTGCAGTTCTTGTTTTTCTTCATTTCAACAGAGGCGGAGTCAGAGCTCAACAGAGGGAGTTAGTCATGTCATCAGAGGCGGAGTCAGAGCTCAACAGAGGCGGAGTCAGAGGCGGAGTTAGTGAGGTCATCAGAGGAGGCGTCAGAGGCGGAGTCAGAGCTCAACAGAGGCGGAGTCAGAGGCGGAGTTAGTGAGGTCATCAGAGGAGGCGTCAGAGGCGGAGTCAGAGCTCAACAGAGGCGGAGTCAGAGGCGGAGTTAGTGAGGTCATCAGAGGAGGCGTCAGAGGCGGAGTCAGAGCTCAACAGAGGCGGAGTCAGAGGCGGAGTTAGTGAGGTCATCAGAGGAGGCGTCAGAGGCGGAGTCAGAGCTCAACAGAGGCGGAGTCAGAGGCGGAGTCAGAGAGCCCCACCGGCTCCATCACTGAAAACAAACACAGATCTGGGGGGTCGGGTCTGTTCAGGGTTCATCCTGGTCCTGGTGCCCTGTGCCCATATTTGGGGGGGACTCTGTTTGGTTCCAGACGGGTCTGGTTGGGGGGGTCATGCGTGGCGTGATGACGAAGGCCAGGATGCCCACCAGCATCAGGGCCAGGGTGATGGTGATGATGGAGGCCACCACAGCGTAGTAGCACTGATCTGAGTGGAACAGGCGGCGCAGGCGCCCCCGCATCCTGTTCGGAGGCCTCCCCACGTCCAACACGGAGGCCGCCGCTGCCGCCGCGCCCCCCTGCTCCGCCAGGCCGGGGTGGCCCCGGGGTCCGGGGGCGTCCTGGGTCTTGGTGGGGACGGAGATGCTGGTGGGCTTGCCCTTGGGGGGCGGGTGTTTGAGCATCAGCTTGCCCCGGCTGCGCTTGAAGCGGATGGAGAGCGCGCGCTGCATGTCCGAGGGCAGCCGGTCGATGATGCCCTGGTTGTTGCCCAGGCGGGGCAGGTCCCGGCCGTGGGGCAGCTGGGTCAGCTCGCGGCACATGGGGCAGGTCAGGGTCTTGACCTCCTGTGAGGTCACGTTGATGCGGGCCAGGCACTCCAGGCAGAAGGTGTGTCCACACGCCAGCAGCTTGGGCGTCTTGAAGACGTTGTCGTAGGAGCAGAAGCACACGTTGCACTCCGCCTCCTCCTCCTCGCCGGGCCCGTCCCGGTCCCGGTCCTGGTCCTGGACGACCCGCCTGCAGGACTCCTCGCTCCGGCCTCGAGGACGCCTCTCCCTGTGGTGGCGGTCCCGCTGGCTCCTCCTCCCCCTCTCCATCCTCTCAGAGTCGCTGCTCCTGGACCTCCTGACCTTCGCAGGCCTCTCCTTCCTCATGAAGTCCTCCTTACGGTTCTGGTCCTCCTTACGGTTCTGGTCCTCCTTGCTGTTCTGGTCGCCCTGGTTGGGTTTGGGTTTGACATTTTGAGGGGGTCTAGCTCCCTGGCTCCCTCCCTCCCCGCTGCAGTCCTCATGTCCACTCATGACCAGGTTCTGGGTGTCAGGCGGGAACCTGGATCCTGGTTTGGACCAGCAGCTGTGGACAGAGACGCGGGTCGGTTTACTCAAGTCCTGACAAAAACTGGACCTCCCTGCTGGTCCCGATAAACACCAGTTCTGACCAGATCAACATAAAAAACATTGATATTTTAAATATTTGACTTAATTCTGGTTAAAAACAAAAAACTGGACTTTTAATTCTAAAGTTGAAGAAGTTTCACTTCCTGTCCACAAAGTTTTTTACTTTATTTAAAACAAACAAAACACATAAAACTTAGGGCTGTGAAATTAATCGAGTTAACTCTGATTAATTTTAGTGCTGCGTGGACACAGATTAAACATTTAATCGTGATTAAATGCACTCAGTGCATCATGTCAGGTCATGTTTGTAAATAAGTGGTTCTCAAACAGTTTACCTGATAAATAAAGGTTAAATAAATAAAATAAACAAAAAAACTCCACATGTAACATATTAGTTTTTTTTCTTTTTGTCTTCTTATGGCTTATTTTATTTTATTTATGTTTTGCTGACAGCTGTGACCTCAGTATCTATCTTTCCTTCCTCATGTAGTACTATAGTAGTACTATAGTAGTAGTATGTAGTAGTAATAACTCAAGTAATTTCTTTTACTAATATGTAATAAAGTTGTATATTAAGTTTAAGATTAATCGTGACTAATTCACAGCTACCTTGGAATTAATAGATTTATTTTTTTTATTTATTTGTTTTTTATATAAAAATAAACAAAATAAATAAATAAAAATAATAAAACGAAAGGCAGCAGAAGAAGAAAATATCTTATATTTAACTCCATTTTCAAAAATAACATTAAATTCAACAATAATCAAATAATGGTTTAAATCAGTGTATTGTCAATAAATCTTTAACAATGTAAAACAAAAAAAAAGCTTATTTGTTTTACAAACAACAATTCATATAAATAATAATAACAATAATAATAATAATAATAATAATAAACCAGACTATAAATAAACACTGCAGAAAGACTGGAAACTGAGTTGATTTCACTGAGTGCTTTTAAATCAAAACTGAAAGGTCTTGAGACTGACTCCATCACTTACACTTGTTTTTAATTTGTTTTAATTTAAATCTTTTAAAGTTTTTCTATTTGATGATTTTAATTTTGTTTTAAGATGNAAATAATAATAACAATAATAATAATAATAATAATAATAAACCAGACTATAAATAAACACTGCAGAAAGACTGGAAACTGAGTTGATTTCACTGATTTTAAATCCGAACTGAAAGGTTTTGAACCTGACTCCAAAACTTACACTTGTTTTTAATTTGTTTTAATTTAAATCTTTTAAAGTTTTTCTATTTGATGATTTTAATTTTGTTTTAAGATGTGAAACTATGAGTTGCATTTGCTGCTGCCAGTCTAGGCCAGGTCTGTCTTGAAAAAGAGGTTTTTAATCTCACTGGGACTTCCAGCTTAAATAAAGGTTATAAGTAAATAAATATAAAAACATTTAAGTTGAAAAAGAGTGGGAAGAAGATACATTTACTCCCACTCTTTTCAATTCAAGGTTAATTAATGTTTAATTCAGGTTGTTTTTATTCCACATGGATTTATTTCTACTACAGAAACAGTTGTTTTTATCAGAACTGAAGCTCAGAGTAAAACAGCTGCTTCCTGCTCAGATACGACCTCTGAAACCAACAAACTGAAGAATTTGAATAAACGTCGTTTAAAGCTGCAGTTTTTCTCCTCGTCGCTCACAGGAAGCTTCAGTGTGAAGCAGAGAAAACACAGGTGAGTTTAAACAGCTGACCTGAGTGGACGCAGATGAGATCCGGTCCTCAGAGGTGAATCAGCGCCGGATGGACCAGCTTCATGTTGGATTATAAAACCACAGGAGTGGATCTGAACGGCTCCTCCCGTCCTCCTCCTCTCTTATCACCTCTCTCTCCTCCCCTCGTCGGACCGGTCCAACCGGACCCGTGTGTCTTCCCTCACCTCCGTCTGATGTGTGCAAATATTCAGGACGTTAAGTGAAACGGGACGAGAAGAGAGTCAGAGGACCGGACCGGACCGGACAGGATCGAACCGGACGGGAGCAGGGACACGTCTCCTGCCTGAAGACAGCGGCGGGAAAAACGTCCTCCGGGCTTCCTGTCGACACCTCATACCTGTCATACCTTCAGCTGACGCACAAAAACATCAGCCGAAGCTTTCAGCTCGCCTCCCGACCCAGAACACAGAACAGAACCCTGAACCGAACCAAAAAAACCTGCACCAAACCTGCTGCTGCTGCAGGAAAAAACATTTTATTTCAACAAACAAGAGAACAGCAGCAGTTCTTACAGCTGCTGTAAGAACTGCTGCTGTAGCAGCTGTTCTTATAGCAGCTGTAAGAACAGCTTCTATAAGAACAGCTGCTGTTCTTATAGAAGCTGTAAGAACAGCTGCTGTTCTTACAGCTTCTATAAGAACAGCAGCTGTTCTTATAGAAGCTGTAAGAACAGCTGCTGTAAGAACAGTTCTTACAGCAGCTGTTCTTACAGCAGCTGTTCTTACAGCAGCTGTTCTTACAGCAGCTGTTCTTACAGCAGGGACATAAAACAGGGAAATGAATGGAAACTTTAGCTGCTTCAGTGGTAAAGTTCTGTTGGGCCGAGCCGCCCGTTTCCTGGTTCTGGTTTATGATTAAACCTGTAAGAGTGCCGGGCCCAGTTTTCCCTGAACGCCTGTCCAACACTTCAACAGAACCTGGTCCATAAACCTGCTGGTATTACAGACGGGGGGACGTTTGTCCTGACGGGGGGACGTTTGTCCTGACGGGGGGATGTTTGTCCTGACGGGGGGACGTTTGTCCCTTCAGCTTGTCCCGCTCACGCCCGGTGCTCCGGCGGTCCTCAGCCCAGCTCCTCCTTGGCCTTGCCCTGTTTCCGGGGCATCTTCTTGCTGCTGCTGTCCTCCAGCTCTTTGCTCTTGTAGTAGTGAGGAGCCACCTCCAGCAGCCAGCTGCTGTCGATCTCAATCACCTGCAGACGCATCGACACGTTGATTATCTCAGAGTAAATTCAATAAATTCAAAGGTTATCCACTGAAGATGAGTTTTTACAAACAGCTGAACCCATGTTTAACTCTGAGCTCGATGACGTCACTAACTTTCCTAAACTCGTCTCTCTTCTCCAAACCTCAGCCTTCTTATCAGAACAGGAGCATTTCTGTCTGTTCATTCCTCACTTATCAATAAAGATTTATGGTTTAAAACTCTCAGACGTCCGTTCAATCAGAGCTCATTATTTTCTCTTTAAACCTGAAGTGACTGGTTTATTTAACCCAGCAACATGAAAACACTGCAGTTAAATAAAAAGTTAGCTTCACTAAAAACTGCTGAAAGGGTTAAACACGTGCTAAAAATTAGCTAATGCTAACCGCTAACATGTTAAAAACTGGTGGGACTGACACAAACCTGTTTTCTAATGGTTTAATTAAAAGGTGGGCGGGATCATCCAAAGCAAATCGGCCAATCCAAACCCAAGTTACAGCTCTGTCTAAATTGTGATACTTCCTGTTTAGCCCTTCCACAATAAAAGCATACTTTTGATTGAGTTTGTATTTTTATAAATAGCTTTTGAAATGAGTCAAACAACAAAAAGCCTTTTCAAACAAAATAGCTAGCCTTATATTATCTTTAGCTTTTAGTTAGCCTTTATCCTTCTTTTAGCATCAAGGTGGCCTTTTAATACTTTTAGCTTGTTAGCCTGTAGCCTTTTGTTAGCATTAGCTACTGGTTATTCACAGTCTGTAAATCTGGGGTTGTGTCCACAGTTTCAGGATGATCTCCTGTCTGATTGAAACGTTTCAAACCTTTGAGCGATACGTTTATTCAGAGTAACTCAGAACATTGTGTTGTGTTGTGTTGTGCTGTGTTGTGTTGTGTTGTCTTGTGTTGTGTTTTCGGACCTGTCTCATGAACTCCTTGGTGGTGAAGACCAGCTCGTGGTAGATGAGCCAGCGGGGCTGCTCCTCGAACAGCGAGCTGTTGGGGTGGACGTAGACCATCTGCTGGTGCTTCACCGTCTTGTAGCCACCTTTACTGAGCCGGGCCGTGTGGTAGAAGTACCCCGCCGTCACCGCCTGTGAGGAGGAGGAGGAGGAGAAGCGCTGAGTCATCACTCAGCAGGGACAACATCTAGCTGCACAAAAAGCAGGAATCAAGAGTTTTTGTTGCTGAGATGAAGGTTTTCTGTCAGAGCCGGAGCAGGAACCGGTCGGCCCGGTTTGAGCTCAAACAAAGGAACAAAGATCTTTTTACCTTTAAGCTGCAACACACGGGCAAATATTCCAAGTATTTATTACATCACATAACCCCTGCAGGGTTTTACTGACTGACTTTGCTTTTTTTAATCTACCTTTAAAAACACTCAACACTGAATAAAGTGACAAGGCTCAACTCTGTAAACCATGACTCAGCGTTTCCGTTGTTTTACCGGTTATTTTTCCGTAAGTATTTTGTAATCCTTCAGCACATGTTGAGCTATTTTAGCTGCTCAAAAGGTTCGGCTTGTTCAGAAAATGAGAGTTGTTATGTTGTTGCTCAATCTTAAACTTTTCAAACTAATTAACTTTAAAATTAATATGCAAACAGAAGATCCCTTTAAATCCTAAAAAAAATGGTTCTTTTTCAAATCTGCTTCAGCTAAAGGCCCTGTTTTTGACTTCTTATGCTAATTTTAGCTAATAGCAACCTTTCTGCAACTTTCGTTTTTGGCTAGTCTTTTGATGTTTTAGTTTTTAGCTAATATTTAGCTGCTTTTAGCTAGTGTTTTGCTTCTGTTAAATTTTAGCAAGCATATTGCTACTGTTTGCTACTCATTTAAGATAGCATTTAGTTAAATTCAGCTAAGGTTTTGCTGATTTTAGCCAATGCTTTGCTACATTTAGCTTTAAACTATCATTTTGTTACTCTTAGCTAGCCCTTAGCCACTTTTTATCTGAAGCGTCTGCAGGATAGTTTTTAAACAAATGTCTTTTACATCAGCTGCACACAGCTGACGTTTTTCTCTGGACTTCGGCTATCAGTTTATGAGCTGAAAACTTTGCATATCTCTGCCTGATGTGAAAATCTGGAGTCAAGAGAGACAAATCAATCTTCAGCTGATTAGAATCCTCCGTGTTGAAGCTAAAATCTACTTCCTGTCAAACTGGCTGTTTTTCGTAGAATCAGCCGAAGAAACGGGACTGAAGTGTCTCTGCCACCAGCTGCCCGCACAAAGAGACTAAAAATCTTTTAAAACGAGTTTTTGAGAAGTTGTCTTGAAATAAAATCAGGTTTTATGACTTTAAACCACCTGGTTCTAAAGAACAGGTGAAGCTCCGCCTCTGGTTCTGATGAGGGAAATTCTGAGAACCTCAGGACCGGTTCTGGTGTGGCGGCAGAAAAGACGGCCCGGTTGACTGAGTGTTAAAAAGACCTTCAAACAGCCGAATTGCGGCTGTTTTCAAACAACACGACAACTAAAGAAACAGATTTCTCTGCAAAAATACAGCCGGAACCTGTGCAACGAAAAAATGTTTAAAACAAAGAGAACACGAGCTAAAACAGCAAAAATATAGCTAAAAGCTACAGACAACAAAACAGCAGCTAAGAACTAAACCCAGCAAAATAGTAGCAAATAGCTAAAATTAACAAAACTTAATAGCTAAAAATAGACAAAACTTAATATAGCAAAATCACAGCAAAAAGCTAAAGTTAAACCTTAGCTAAAGAATAATAACAGCAAAGCGGTAGTGCAGAAATGAGCAATAGCTAAATCATAGCTAAATGCTAAGTTGAAATTAGCAAAACCATAGCTGAACGGTAAAATGAGCAAAGCTGTTAAAAGCTAAAAGAAAAATCAACAAAACTGTAGCTAAAATCTCAGTCATAGCTTAACATTTATATTAGGTAAACAACAGCTAAAAAGAGTAAAAATGTAGCTAAAATCTCAGTCATAGCTTAACATTTATATTAGGTAAACAACAGCTAAAAAGAGYAAAAATGTAGCTAAAATCTCAGTCATAGCTTAACATTTATATTAGGTAAACAACAGCTAAAAAGAGYAAAAATGTAGCTAAAATCTCAGTCATAGCTTAACATTTATATTAGGTAAACAACAGCTAAAAAGAGCAAAAATGTAGCTAAAATCTCAGTCATAGCTTAACATTTATATTAGGTAAACAACAGCTAAAAAGAACAAAAATGTAGCTAAAATCTCAGTCATAGCTTAACATTTATATTAGGTAAACAACAGCTAAAAAGAGCAAAAAGGTAGCTAAAACCCTAGCTAAATCTTGAATCATAGCGACAAACTTAAGTTAGCTAAACCTTAGCTAAAAGTGAAACTGGGCAAAGCTGTTGCTAAATGACAAAATTAGCAAAACAGTAGCTTCAAACTAAAATGTAAAAACCTAATTAGCTAAATGCTAAATTTGTTAAAACAATGAGTCATGTCTAAATGTAGCAGAATGGTAGCTAAAGGCTAAATGAAGCAAAGAATAGCTAAAATGAGCCTAACAATGCAGAAACAGAAGCGTTTGACAGTTTTAAACACGTTTCTGTGGAGGAAATGTTTGTAAATGAAATTAAATATCTGAAACGTTTCAAGGACTAAAAGTCAAACTGGAGTTTCCCAACTTCGGCCAATGTTTCGATTTAAAACAAAAAGTAGAGTCCAAAACACAAACAGCCGAAACTATAAACAGGAGGCAGATAAATGCTTCACACAATAAATAAATAATAAATCTGCTGCCTGATGCGAACGAGGAAAAGGTTAAAAAAGGTTAAAAGTAGCTAAAGAGTTGTGTTTGTGTTGAAACAGCTGAAACAGTGACTGATAAAAAGGTTTTAGTGGTGTGGCTGTTGTCTGAAGCTAAAAAGAAAGAAACCAACGCCCTGGGCTAATCTCAGGACACACACTGATAAGACCACCGAGGATCACTTCAGTCCAGGTAAACCTCACCTGGCCTCACCTGACATTCAGAGAAACACGGAGCAGAATTCAGACTCATTAAGTTAAATCTTAACCAGGAACCTTCAGGTGTGTCTGAAGGTTCACCTCCACACTTCTCAGTATTGTCCTTTAATTGGTTTTATATATAGCAGCACGTAGAGGTGAGAGTGGGCGGAGCTTCAGGCTTTGACCCCTCAGGTCAGGCCTCCATCACCCAGTAAACCTCACAGTGTCTGTCTCTGACATGGACCTTGTCTTTTAATTGGTAATGTGTATATTTATATATACAGAAGTGAGTGGGCGGGGCTTGTCCTTTAATTGGTTATGTGTACGTTTATAAATACACCAAGGTGAGAGTGGGCGGGGCTTGTCTTTTAATTGGTTATGTGTATGTTTATATACACAGAGGTGAGAGTGGGCGGGGCTTGTCTTTTAATTGGTTATGTGTATGTTTATATACACAGAGGTGAGAGTGGGCGGGGCTTGTCTTTTAATTGGTTATGTGTATGTTTATATACACAGAGGTGAGAGTGGGCGGGGCTTGTCTTTTAATTGGTTATGTGTATGTTTATATACACAGAGGTGAGAGTGGGCGGGTCTTGTCTTTTAATTGGTTATGTGTATGTTTATATATACAGATGTGAGAGTGGGCGGGGCTTCAGGCTTTGACCCCTCAGGTCAGGCCTGTCTCTGACACGGACCTTGCGGATGGGGATGTTGTCTCCCTGGCAGCTCAACACCTCCACCTCGATGCGGTCCATCAGGCCCTCCAGCTGGTCCCGGACGTCCCGGGCTCTCCTCATGGAGCGGAACTGGATGAAGTTCTCGTAGCACCACTGCGTGGAGTAGCCGCTCTCCACCCACTGAGGGAGAAACAGCCCGTCAGACTGACCCTCAGCAGAAACACAAGCCTGTGTGGGTCTGCACAGGTGTTCCTACCTGTGTGTAGACGTTCAGCAGCACCAGGTGGTCTCCTCCAGGAACCACAAAGTTCATCCTGGCGTTGTCGGCGTGCACCACTTTGTCTTTGGGCCGGTAGAAGATGGCGTTGTTGACCGACAGCATGGCTGCCACTGTCAGAACCTCCTCTGAACATTTGTACCTGAACACCAGGAGGTGCGGGTCAGATCATCCAGATTAGGAATAAAACAGAATTACACTGGGATTGTTGATCTGATGGGTTTAAGATCAGCAGTGTTTGGAGGAAAGGTCTGAATAAGGGAAGTAAAACGCTTGATTTGAACAGATCAACATGTTTCCTGCACAGATCCTGAGCTGCCAAACAAACTTGGACAATATCTGATGATCGACTCTTTTAAATGAAACCAGAGAGCGTTGACAGAGAGGAGAAGGTAGAAATGACTCAGCCTGGAACTGAAAATGACTCTCAGTTGAACCCACTCCGAC